TATAGCAATTAAAACACAAAGCAACCCAGACGTAGAAGAGGAGGTTGGGGTTAGGAGGTATGGATATCAAACTTGTCTTCAAGTTCAATAAAAAGTCAACATGCTTCCCCAGTTGAAGGTGCAGGGTGGGTAAATATTCCAATTTCACATTGGGCTGCAGGAAGAAGAATGTTAAGACACAGGACCAAAATACTTATAATTAATTATTCATATGCTAAGTAAATTTGTACTCAAAATTCTTTTTTCTTTTTCTTTTTTCTTTTCTTTTCTTGTTTTTTTTTTTTTTTTTTTTTTTTTGAGGCAGGGTTCCACTTTGTTGCCCTAGGCTGGAGTGCAGTGGAGCATCATAGCACTGCAGGCTTGAACTTCTGGACTCAAGTGATCCTCCCACCCCAGCCTCCTGAGTAGCTAGGACTACAGATGTGCACCACCACCAGCCTAATTTTTTTTTTCATATTTCATAGAGATAGGCTCGCTATGTTGCCTAGGCTGATCCTGGCCTCAAGAGATCCTCCTGGTTCAGCCTCCCAAAGTGTTGGGATTATAGGCATGGGCCACCACACTTATAATATTTTCTTATAATATTGAAATGGTGTGGAAAAACTGAAGAACCAAAGAACAACAGGCTACCTAAATTTTACATTTTTAATGGGAACAAATGCTTCGTGATAGTCCTTAAGACAATGAAAGAATTGGGAAAATATTAATTCCCTGATGTTTTCTGTGCACTTGCAATAACAAACAATGAAAATGTTCATAAATTTAGAAAGAGAAAGGTCTGTGTTACTGTCACAAGGGTACATAAATACTGAGAATGACTGCTGAGGGAGTGGTCCCCATTGGTGATGGCCTACAGAAGGGACCAGGTGACCATGTGTTTCCTCATGGCCTAGGCAATTAGAAGGCGGGAGCTCCTAAGATTCCATGACAACCCCACCTTCTAATTCTGTTATTGTGACTCCAGACCACTACCTGGCACCCTGGGTCCTACCTCTGGCATTCCTATCAGAGCCTAAGCTGCAGGCAGTACCTTAGACTCTGAGCTTAGGCATCTTGTGCCTTATTTTGTGGTTAAGGATTCCCAGAGTTGTGGAATGCTGACAAGGTTTATCCAAAATTAAGTTATGAATCAAATCTGCATTCTTGAGACCTGTTTAAATCCTTTTTTAATGTAAAGAAGTAAGTATGGTTGACATACTATAAAATTCACCCATTACAATCATACAGTTCAATGATTTTTAATAATCTACCCAGGTAGTGCAACGATCACCATAATCCATTCACTTGTTTTTTTTTTTTGTTTTGTTTTTTTTGAGACAGAGTCTCGCTTTCTTGCCTAGGTTAGAGTGAGTGCCGTGGCGTCAGCCTAGCTCACAGCAACCTCAAACTCCTGGGCTCAAGCGATCCTACTGCCTCAGCCTCCCGAGTTGCTGGGACTACAGGCACGAGCCACCATGCCTGGCTAATTTTATATATATATATATATTAGTTGCGCAATTATTTCTTTCTATTTTTTTTATAGTAGAGACGGGTCTCGCTCAGGCTGGTTTTGAACTCCTGACCTTGAGCAATCAGCCCGCCTCGGCCTCCCAGAGTGCTAGGATTACAAGCGTGCAGCCTGTGCCTACGGCCACCGATCTTGCTTCCTGCCCCGAGTCGGGGCCTCTTGGGCGCCGCAGCATCCCAGTCCTGTTCCTGCTCCCCACCGCTCCGCTCATGAGGTTGGAATCCACCCGGTACATGCTTTTTAATCACTGCATTATGTTACCTTTATACTAAGGTCTTGGGTGATAACTTCTTCTCCAGCTTGAAAAAATTTTGTCTTACAATTATATTATGATTATAATGAATGTTTAAAAACCCTTAAGTTTTCCACACCCTTGTTTTTATTTCTTTAACAAGTAGGCTTTTATTCTACTTTTCTGTCTGATGAGAGTAAGTTGGATAGCAAATTGTGCCTCCCCATTGATTTATTGAAAATAATTGTGGAAATTGGAAAGCAAACTCAACTTCAATGTTAGCAAGAATCTTCCTCTAATATTGTTGTTCTTGTTGCCCTTGTTCCCATGTTTCCTTCAGTCATTTAACTATCCTCCTTCTCCCCCACCATTTTTTACAGGTTAGGATTTTCCAGTGAATTTCCAAATGGTGGAAGCTGACTGTGGAGAGGGGACAGGGCCAGCCCCATACTGGCTTAGCCTGCTACTGAGACTGGGAGGAATCCTCCAGTTGGCCTTGTTCTCATTTTGCCGTATGTCTCATAACCCAGATCCTAGAGGTCCACATGGAATTGCTTCTATCTGCAAGTTTTATATTCAGGAAGAGACAGAAAGGGTTTATAGTGTGGCTTCAGTTTTACTGGAAACACCCTTCAAGCTAACCAGAATGGTGAGGAATGGGTTCTTTTTGAACTTCTGTGGGAAAACAATCTTGCTCTAGGTATCAAGGCTTCCTTTGTGTCTGCTATGAAATTCCTGTCTCCAGATATCTGTGACTTCTTTGGGAACAGATAGATTAGCTCTTTAAGGCTGGTAGTGGTCAACAGAAAGAAGCCAATAAAATAAAATATTATTTAATTATATAAAATAATTAAATAAATTAAAATAATTGAAATATGTTTATTTAAATAAACATTTAAAAATGTTTAAAATTTGTAAAATAATTTAAAATTCTGTAAAATAAGCTAAATACTTTATTCTGGCTAAATTTGAGGACCATGGCCTGCGAATCATGCCCAAGAAACCTTGAGCAAGGAACTCTCTGTGCTTGTGTTACATTTTGGGACCCTATAAGAACGATATGCGAGGTTGGGTGAGACGAGGAGATGAGCGATTATAAATGCTATAATCAATCAATAAACATGTGAGATCGTTTGCGTAGAGTATCTATTCTAGTTTTGAGAGCCAAGAAAGGGACAGAGCGAGTGCGCGCACACCCTCTATAAGGAACAAGGCGAGTGGGCTGACACGCGTTATAAAATAAAGTGGGTCCTTAATATATGATTCTTCTGATTTATATTGAGTGTGGTTAAAGAAGGGGAAGCCTTGTCTAACGGTTAGAATGTTTTCTAGAGCGTTAAAGGAGATAAAGAAATGTCTGTTAAATCAAGAGATACACACAAGGAGCCCTGCTGCCACATATACCAAACATACTTTAACAGACTTAATCAATAATTAATTTTTACATGTAAACTATGATTGGACCTTGTAAGGTTTGTCTTGCATAGTCTTTATAGGCCCTGAGTTCTAAAGTTATCTCTCTATATAGTGTTTATATTTTTTCTTCCTTAATTTAATTTGTATATGGTTTTGACAGGAGGGTTACTGCACTAGGCATTGCTCGCCCTTAACCTCCCTTCTGCTAAGTCTGGCCAGGCAGAATTCAACTCCAGATCTTCACGGTGACATCAGCCTTAGCCAACGAGGATCCTTCTATGCTGTCAATCAAATTGATCCGGTGCTCTCGTGGGCGCGAGCGCGCGCGAGAGGCGGGGTTGAAGCTTCAAGACTTTAGTTATAGAAGTCTCACAGCAGAACCTATTGGTTACTGAAAAGCTTGACATATTGGTACCTTTGAGGTCGCACACTACCAGCAACGCAACACAGACAACAAGTAGGTTCTCGTAAGAAGAAGTTTAAGGCGTTCTACATCTGCAAATGGATGGAAAAATATTCAATAGTTACAATACCTTGAGAACTTATCTCAAAATCCAAATTGTCCTGGCCATCTCAGCAAGAAATTTGACACGCTACTTTTAAAGGGCGAGTGCGATCCTCAGTTCTAAGGCTTGGTGTTAACTATTCCTAATGTGGCCCGCCATCCTCCATAGCCAAGAAGCACAATCGTGACCTGGTCTCATGCCCATCTGCCCACCCCTGAGAGGGCTGGCACCAGGCCGGGTGATTCCCTGCCCCCCTCCCTGCCAAGCCAGGCTGCGTTCCTCCAAAAAGATGGGCGAGGGATATGTTTGTAAAGAGACGAAAGTATTTATAGGCTCTAGCCGAGGCTCTATTCTCCAGGTCATCTCCCTCTGTTACAGGATGTACTGATTACTGGGCTCTTTCTCTCCTTCTATGGGGAGTGCTCATCCTGCACAGGTGTTTTCGCAATGGGCGCTGAGCTAAAAGTCCTCGAGCCACAACTTTCTGTAGATAATAATTTGAAGCCAACCTAGTTCGTATAGTTAATTATATGCTTATAGAAATGAGTAGTCGCGACGATGATATACCACTATGAAGAAGAAGAACCAAGAGTTATCTCATGCGCGCTCTACTCTAATATTACTCTCTGACACTTCTTCCATATCGACATAACTTTACATCATTGCTTATTAGTGCTCAGTCTTATCATCCTCATGTGCTCAATTAAGAGTGAAAATACCCTTTGCTATCTACCTTACATATGGAGAGTATAAAGTCAGGTTGATAACAAAAATAATATTTAATATTCTCCTTGTATAATGAAGAGATGACTCAGTGATCTCCAACCTATGTCTGGAAATGTATATCCACAATTTTTTACAGAGGCATCGCTGCGATGATGTTGATCCACTTTAAGTGACCATGACCCTGGAGGACTTAACTGTATTTCTGGCAGTGGTTGACCAGGCCAGTCAGCTGTGCTGTTACATTTAAAAAAAAAAGATGTGAGGTAATCTTTCTTCTGTGAATACTTCTGCAGTATAAATCTGTTTCATGATTCATTCTACAGCTGGTGGAGCTGCGAGTATCCGAATTGCGTTTTCCGAGGGTTACACATACTCGACTTTACTTCACCTCTATGATCCAGCTAAAAAGAGATGAGAGGGATCAGCGTCTACGCATGGAGTCTGAGAGCTTGTGGTAGAAGTATGCCCCATGCCTGGAGCCTGGAGGAAAGCCTAGACAAAAAGCCCAAACAAATGATACAAATGTTTATAAACAACATGCCGCCGGCCTAACAGCGCACGCTCATGTAATCCATAATGCAACGATACTGGACAAGGAGCTCCCCGAGGCGGGCCCGGATTGCTCAAGGTCAGGAGTTCAAACACACCCGCTGAAGCCCGAGACCGTCTCTAACTAATAAAAAAATAGAAAAGAATTAATTGGCCAACTAATATATACCTATATATATATAAATTAGCCAGGCATGGTGGCGTGCTGTAGTCCAGCAACTCGGGAGGCTGAGGCAGTAATGGCTTGAGCCCAGGAGTTTGAGGTTGCTGTGACTAGGCTGAACGCAGGCACTCACTCCTAACCATAGCAAGAAAGGGCGGACCCTGTTCTCAAAAAAAAAACCAAAAAAAAAAAAACAAGTGAATGGATTATGGTGATCGTTGCACTACCTGGGTAGATTATTAAAAATCATTGAACTGTATGATTGTAATGGGTGAATTTTATAGTATGTCAACCATACTTACTTCTTTACATTAAAAAAGGATTTAAACAGGTCTCAAGAATGCAGATTTGATTCATAACTTAATTTTGGGATAAACCTTGTCAGCATTCCACAACTCTGGGAATCCTTAACCACAAAATAAGGCACAAGATGCCTAAGCTCAGAGTCTAAGGTACTGCCTGCAGCTTAGGCTCTGATAGGAATGCCAGAGGTAGGACCCAGGGTGCCAGGTAGTGGTCTGGAGTCACAATAACAGAATTAGAAGGTGGGGTTGTCATGGAATCTTAGGAGCTCCCGCCTTCTAATTGCCTAGGCCATGAGGAAACACATGGTCACCTGGTCCCTTCTGTAGGCCATCACCAATGGGGACCACTCCCTCAGCAGTCATTCTCAGTATTTATGTACCCTTGTGACAGTAACACAGACCTTTCTCTTTCTAAAATTTATGAACATTTTCATTGTTTGTTATTGCAAGTGCACAGAAAACATCAGGGAATTAATATTTTCCCAAATTCTTTCATTGTCTTAAGGACTATCATGAAGCCATTTGTTCCCCATTAAAAATGTAAAACTTTTAGGTAGCCTTGTTGTTCTTTGGTTCTTCAGTTTTTCCACACCATTTCAATATTATAAGAAAATATTATAAGTGTGGTGGCCCATGCCTATAATCCCAACACTTTGGGAGGCTGAACCAGGAGGATCTCTTGAGGCCAGGATCAGCCTAGGCAACATAGCGAGCCCTATCTCTATGAAATATGAAAACAAAAAATTAGGCTGGTGGTGGTGCACATCTGTAGTCCTAGCTACTCAGGAGGCTGGGGTGGGAGGATCACTTGAGTCCAGAAGTTCAAGCCTGCAGTGAGCTATGATTGCTCCACTGCACTCCAGCCTAGGGCAACAAAGTGGAACCCTGCCTCAAAAAAAAAAAAAAAAAAAACAAGAAAAGAAAAGAAAAAGAGAAAAAGAAAAAAGAATTTTGAGTACAATATTTTACTTAGCATATGAATAATTAATTTATAAGTATTTTGGTCCTGTGTCTTAACATTCTTCTTCCTGCAGCCCAATGTGAAATTGGAATATTTACCCACCCTGCACCTTCAACTGGGGAAGCATGTTGACTTTTTATTGAACTTGAAGACAAGTTTGATATCCATACCTCCTAACCCCAACCTCCTCTTCTACGTCTGGGTTGCTTTGTGTTTTAATTGCTATATACGTATTATGGTTGTCACTTACGAATTTCATTCTAATTCTACAGGATCTCTTTCTAATTTGTCCAAGTCATTGAAATAGTTTATGTACATCTATGTATAGCTATGTTTATGTATAATGGTTGCTGCCATAGGACATTTTAATAAAAATAGGAGTATAATGGTTGATTACTTGTCAGTGCCCTGGAGAAATTGGGGAAGCAAAATGATGAGCACAAGGCTCTAAATTCCTTCCTCAAGATTTAGTTTAGGGACCTGAAAGCTTCTATGATTCTCTCAAAAAAGAAAAGAACCTTATCTAATGAGGCCGTAGGCCTGAATTCTGCAAACTAAACCTAAATTGAATTCCCACCATCATAGGAGTGCTTATGTTATAGTCAGGGCATTGATTGCAAAGGTTTCACTGGGATTGGTCATATGAACAGATCCTGATGAAGCAGGGGGATCTTGAAATCCTAAACACCACTGAGCTTCCTGTTGCATGAGACACAGCCCTTCCTTCCTTGTTTGAGGAGGTTTATTTCCACTTGCCTGAAGAATATCTAACAGCCTCCCCTGAGTGGTTGCCTCCTCAGGGTCTCCTGCCACCAGATGTCATTGCTTTACAAACCTAGAATCAGACTTAAGTCCCAGCAAGTTTCAGAGGGAAACATACAAAGTGTGGTGGTGACCAGTGAGAAGGCAAAATCCAACCAGAAGTACTGCAGGATTCTGTCAATTTATCTGAACAGAAATCCTGGAGGTACTTCTATGGGAATGAACACTAAGGGTGAAGAAGCAGGGAGGAAGAAATATAATGTTGAATCAGATGGAATTTATTAATGGATTTAGAGGCACTAAGTAGAGTGTTTTCAGGTCTGCAACCTAAATCTTGAAGTAGGAATTTAGAGCCTTGTGCTCATCATTTTGCTTCCCCAATTCCTCCAGTGCACTGACACGTGGCCAATCCATTAGACTCCTTATTTTTATCCATTGTGTTAGTCTGAGCAACTGGAAGAGGATCTCACTGTTCACTTGCTTGGTTGACTGAAGCTTGCCCCAAAAGTGGCCTATAGTAAATGAAGTTGAAATACTAGAACGTTTTTTGTATATTATGGAGGAAAGTATCCAAAGGCTTAGGGAGATCAGGAGTGGATTAATTAAGACATGCTCATTCACCCCATCTATATCATATGGAATGGTCAAAAAGACACTACTTTCAACAAGGCTATGAGAAATATATTTAAGAGATTTGTCCCTTCATCCTCTAAGAACTCTTTGGTGGAAATTTTATGAAGGACAGTGGGAATTGCTGTCATTGAACTGTGATCCCTGAAATTAATGGGGATGATGGGAAGATAGCGTTGGAAGGGTCATGTGATAACAATTAATTGCTAAAGACCAGATTTCCACAGTTACTACAATGGGGAGCAGACCTGAAGCAATCATCAGAAAGGCCAAACCCTCAGAGCTCTTTTTTTTTTTTGAGACAGAGTCTCACTCTGTTGCCTGGGCTAGAGTGCCATGGCATCATCTGCTTAGCTCACAGCAACCTCAAACTCCTGGGCTCAAGTGATCCTCCTGCCTCAGCCTCCCGGGTAGCCGGGGACTACAGGCATGCACCACCCTGCCGGGCTAATGTTTTCTATTTTTATTTGTTTGGTTAATTTATTTCTATTTATAGTAGAGACGGGGTATCACTCTTGCTCAGGCTGGTCTCAAACTCCTGAGCTCAAATGATCTGCCTGCCTCGGCCTCCCAGAGTGCTAGGATTACAGGCGTGAGCCACCGTGCCCGGCCCCTCAGAGCTCTTTAACATTAGCTCATTGATTAGTGTCTCTAGAACTGAGATAAATGGGAAGCCTATTGAAATCTTAATTGATTTGTATAAAGAAAAACACTCTAGGTCTAGGGAACATAAGTCTGATTAGATTATGATAGACCCTCCAAAAATTCACAGACCCTCAACAAATTCACAATTATAGAGTCCTTTGAATGAAGGAGAGACAGATCCTCTCAAGGAAAGATCCTATTACACAGGTAAAAATTATTATTATTTATTGTATTATTGGCTACTATTATTGTATTATTGGCTACTCACATGAGATCTCCTTGAAAGTCTAGATGTTTTATTGATCTCTGAACTCATGGCTCCTAGTACAGGGCCAAGCCTTAAGGAGGTTCTCAGTAATATTTGTCCAATAGCTAAAAAGAGAAGTGGTTGCAAACCTCCAATCATCTCAACTACATTTCTGTCCCAAGAGTCCTCTCAGGAATGTTCTACATCCTCCAAGGAGACAACAAATTCTCTTCCCTGGAAAGGACCCGGCCCTCCACTATTTGGTCCATGCCCTGGGACCAGTTATCTTTGGGGAGCTTAAACAAAAACTAACTGTCCTCAGGGGTTCCTCTCAATGGTTCACCTTCTCATTTAGAAGAGATGTCCTTGGCCTCCTATCTGCCTATACTCTGGGCTGTTATAACACCCCAGTTTAGGAGAGCTACCATATTTTGTTGAAATTATATTTGTGTTCTTCTTTTCACTCACTGTGTCTCCTCAGGGAGATGCTGATATCTGAACTCCAAGTGCTTAACACAGGGAAATTAAGCATTCAACAAATATGCATAAGATATTGAGTGTAAAGCCTTTCTCAACTGTAAATACAGAAGAACATATTATCATCATCACTGCTTCAGGTAGGAGAATCCTCTTACCTTGGCCTCTTTGACCTAGGGCAGAAGTGTTTAAGGCAAGAATGGACATCTCCAACACTTTTCCAAGCATCGTCTATTCTCACTAAGCCCACACTCACTTGGAGGGTATCCAATGCTAGGGCAACCTCAAGGTGTAGGCTTGAAGGCCTGGGAAGGGTCTTATGGTCACATCCTACCCTTCTTGGAGTTGGTGCTTCCCTCAGTATAAACCATCCCAAAGTCCATCTTGTGGCTCTCCTTGACCAGGTGCACAAATTCACTGCAGAGTAAGTTATTCTCCTAGTCCTCACTGCTCAGCTCAAGATACTCCTTGAAGAGTTTGATGATGTTGTAGGCATTCCTCAGTTTCTCCTGATTTATCTGAACTCAGCCTGAAGTTTGTCCTTATTCTCTGCACCATTGGCTACCACATGCTCCACCATTACCTTGACTTTCTTTGAATTATTTTCATTCTCCAAACTTGCTGACTTTCTTCTATTTGATCTCAGCTCTGCACTCTGAGGGCAATGTTCAGCTAGAGCTGGATCCTAGAGGAAAAACATGCAGTAGGGACCAAGGTCAGGTCTCGGCTGCAGTTTCCAGGGCATGTTTAATATATATATTTTAGTCCCTTGTGAACTCAGAAAACTGAGCAGAAAGTGACCTTTAGAGAACTAGAACCTGATCTTCCTGATGAAGAAACCGAGGCCCAGAAAGACCAAGAGGTTTTCCCAGCTCCATCACCACTTGATGGCAGCAAGACCCCCTCAGGGAAGCCATAGCCTCAGTTTCCCTGTCCAAAGCAGTTTCCCTGTCCAAAGTGAGTCTAACTCACTCAAGGAACTCACTCCTCAAATTCTAGAACTTTGGATTAAACATAGCTATTTCCACTGTTAAAACCAAATATCAGATGGTTCTTTCCTGGGGCAAATCTTCTATCACAGTTCTATAGTCCTATTATTTATACTTAGTTTCCAATCACTGGCTGATACACTGGCTGATATGACCACAGAACATATAAGTATCAACTAACTAACACTTATCACAGTCACAAATAAATGTATTTATGGGCTTATCTGTAAAAAATGTCTGGCTCCTATGCCAGAAGATTATCTTCCCGAGAGCAGGGATTCTGTCTGCCTTGTTCACCATATCCCCAGTGCCTCCATCCCATATCTTCCAGACAAAATTCAGTGCATGTTTGTTAAATGAGTAAATCACAGTTACTAGGAATAAGTTTTACCAATGTTCTCAGTCCCAATCACATTTCCAATCAAATCTCAACCTGGATCTGTGCTAAAGTAGTAGATTTGAATACCAGCTTCACATATGTCTTAGTGCAGGGGTCCTCAAACTTTTTAAACAGGGGGCCAGTTCACTGTCCCTCAGACCGTTGGAGGGCTGGACTATAGTTTAAAAAAATACTATGAACAAATTCCTATGCACACTGCACATATCTTATTTTGAAGTAAAAAAACAAATGGGCAAAAACACCCGCATGTGGCCCACAGGCCGTAGTTTGAGGACACCTGTCTTAGTGGATGATTTCATTAAGCCTTTATATTTTGCTCACATGTAAAACAGAGAAGGAAGTATTAATCAGGACAGTTGTTGGATGTTCAAATGAAACAACATCAGCAGAGAGGGCTCCCAATCCCTGCTTCAGGGTCACTGGTGTGCTTGTTAAAAATATCTAGTGATACAGCCCAAGAAACCACATTTTGGACAAATTCTCCAGGAGATTCTCATGCAAATAAAAAGTCCCACCATGAAGCCAATAGCCTGGGATAGAGACCTCAAAAGCCCTGATGGCAACAAGAGTGACTCAGCTGAAACAATGCAAGTTCCTTGTTCATGGTGGCTTTTCCATGGGAAATATTCCTGCCGCAGGAAACAGTGTCCCACCTGATGTGGGAAACAGAAAAAACCTGCCCCCGTCTGGTCTTTTGGTTCCTCAATTCTCCTTCAGGGTCTTTCCTCTGCTGTAATTGCTGGAAAATCTCAGCCCTCACATGGGTTATTTCTTTATAGAGATTCCTATTATTTGTCTTCTTCTTTTGGGGAAAGAGAAGGCAGAGATTGGTCTGGATCTCCATAATTCTAGGCTTTCTCTGAAGCCACCAAGTGAGCTGAAAGTAATCCTGGCTGACAGAAGTCAGGTCAATAAAGGGGATCTCAGAGGAGCCTGAGATCATGAGGGCAGCCCCCGTGGTAGAGAGTAAGAAACATGACATAGTCAATATCAGATAGATTCGGGAGGGGAGGACATGGCAACCTGTTAAGGAGAGAATGCTGCCATGAGGAGGAAGAGGAAGATCCAGAGGAGTGTGAGAAGAAAAGAACCACAACAGATGAAATGAAGATGGAGACAAATGGGATTGCAATTGGACTGGGAGGTGGATATTTACTATTGAGATAGAGTCTCTTGAGAAACACGCAGTAGTAACATTGCTCCCCTAAGCAATCTGGAGCTTCATCAGCACACAGGACAGTTGAGAGTGCTTGACCATAAGGAATAAGGCTCAAGATGCTGGAGCTGGAAGCCTGAGACACCGCTTGTAGTCCAGTCTCCAGCATAATTGCCAGTTATGTCTGGGGTTACAATTAGAGAAGTAGAATTTAGAGACACCTTCCTACCCACAGAGGCTCTGCCTTTTGGTTCTCTAGCTGACACCCAGTGTAACCTGCTCACTGTAAAAGTCTACACCGATGGGCACTGCCCATCTTAGCAGCCATTTGCAGTCTTTTTATACCTCCATGTCAAAACTGCCAACCAACCAGCTTTATAAATCTATTTCTGCTCATTCAATCCTCTATATGCGTGTAAAACATCAAGGTGTGCATATTTTCCTTTTTTTTTCCCCCTGAGGACTTTCATAATCATCCTCCATTCTCTTTTGATGAAAATAGATTTTATATCTTTTCCTCAATTAAAGTAATCTAAGAATTTTACACATTTTTCTTCTTCACTGATTTCTCTCCAGTTTTTATAAATTCTCATATTCTTAAAAAAAATAGTGACTAAAACCTAACTGTAATATTCTGTTTAGGAGTGACTAATTAATTCAGTAGAATGATTTTTTCTGACTTTTAATATTCATAATATGCCCCAACACACGGTGGCTTTCTTTCCCTCACAGTGGAGCATATTGGAGTATCATTTCAATTGTGATCAATTTTGAGCTCCCAGTGTCTCACTCTTCACTGCCACCTCTGTGTGTGGGATCCTTTTGTTTTTGCTTTGTTTTTTATTTCTATAATATTGTTCTTATATTTGTCAGTTTTACATGTCATGCTGGCTATATAAGGTCACTTTACAATTAATTTTCTTAAATATAAGTAATGGATACACCTATGCAGATGACGACTTGCATAGCTGATGATTTTCTTTATTCTTTTATTCAGACATGACTCTAGATGAATCTTGATTGATTTGCTCAAGGCCACCATAAAACAATTGAATATGGCCTGTGAATGTGACCTTCCTATAGAGCATGGTAAAATCTAGTCCTTGGGTGTTTTGTGGGTGATCCACAACCTGCATGTACAGTGGTATTTAGTGGTGTGAAGAGATGCTCAAGTGTGGAAAGGGATAGGCTGATTGTCTGACCCACCACCTCTCTCCTGAGCATCCACTTCAACTGAGGTTGAATGGTGAAACTGGGAGGACACCCTGGAGTCTCTCTACGGCTTTGCTGCTGGGCTTGGCTAGGCTGGTGGTACCACATGTGTGATGCCAACCACTTGCACATGTGCAGCACAACATTTATAAAAAATTGAGGGAAGAAAGACAAGCGAAAAACTGTTTTTGGAAGTTGGCTTCCCACCTTACATTGCTCTACATCTAGCTATGTGGTGTCACTGCATTGTGAAATGTCCCCAACACATTTCTGAACTCTCCTCCTCCAGTACCTGTGGGACCTGAAGTTGCGTCAGAAAAAGACATCCTAATAAAAATCCTTTATTTTAAAAACGATCAAATCCTGTTTAAAATCATGTGCTTGCAGGATGTCACCGGGTGATGAGTTAATGGACAATGATACGAATGATCACAATAACAGATGCCATTTATTGAGCAAGCATGCACCACGTACTAGGTTCAGTATTGTACAACCATTAACCTATTTACATTTTCTATTAACCTTTAGAGAAATGTTATTATCCACAGTTTACCAGAGAAGAAAGTGAGGATTAGGAAAACCAAATAATTTATTTGCTCAGGTGCTCAGGTTATGAAGGTGGAAGTGAGACCTGCACCTGCACCAACTATCTATAAATTCTAAGGAGTATCTCTCTGCCAGGAAGATAATGCTCAACTTTAATGATGACTGTCCATTTTGAGTGTACCTTTTGTATATATGCCATGGAATTCTATAAACTTAAGGTATATACAGATTTTTAAAATATTTTTTATATTTGATCCCATGAAATATTAATAGTAGAAAAACATAAAGTTCAGATCCTCAAATGATCTCATTTAAAAATATATAGGTCTAATATTTGTTTTAAAATGATAAATAATTTTACTTTTGCTAATACATTTGAAATACTCTTTTGGCTATAAAAGTAATGTAGTATCTAATGTCTGACTACAAATAATATTGCCAACTTTTATATTATTTAAAACAAAAAGAGGAATTGAGATATGTTTTAGATACTATCTGTACCTTAAACACAGAAGATAATGTAAATATGTACCATACTTTATGTTAAAGAAAATGACTGGGGTGTTCATTGTGGGAACTGAAAAAGAAAGGGAAAAATGACCTTTTGTAATCTCCTTAACATTATTTTGGCTTGTGTTAATTCAAATTTTCATGTTCTCATCTCAAAGGGGTCTTACTTTGGAAAACTATTTCAAATAAAAGTGTATTAAAATTGATTCTCATCCTCTGATTAGTTTTCCATTCTTGTTTACAAAGAGTAAAATTTATGTTTTCGTTTTGTTTTCCCAAATTAGATTTCTTTGCTGTCTGAATGAGTGATGGTGATGGTATACCCCTTAGGTAATTGTATTTCCTTCTAGATTATCTTCTCCAACTCACCCACTCACTGTAGTTTCTTTCATGATCTTTACCAATTTACTTTGTACATAGGGTTCCCATTCCCTTCTAGAGGTCAGGGAGAAGTTGTGTTTCCTTGCCTGGGTACAGTTGTCCCTTGTGTCTACAGGACTCTCACAGTATAATAAGTCAGTCTCAGATTGCTTGGCCTTGAGAACTCTAATTTTGTCCCTCTCACTCATTCCCTTAATGCCACTAAAAATTAGTCTTTCCTGTGGTGGTACACGCCTGTAGTCCCAGCTACTCTGGAGGCTGAGGTGGGAGGTTGGCTCCAGCCCACGAGGTTGAGGCCAGCCTGGGCAACATACAGAAACCTCGTCTCTTAGAAAAAATAATAG